CGTAGCGGTGGCAGCCCCTGACTGCGGGGAGCGGGGCCGGGCCAGACGGAGACAGGTCGGAGCCGGGAGACTGGGCTGCTGCGTGGAGCTTCGCACTGACCTTCTGTGGCAGCTTGTGCGTCTGCTTCTTCCAAGTCGGGCCCTCCCAGTCCCCGACGCCGTCCCCCGCTCTGCGCGGGGATAGCGCCCCGTGTCCAGTGCCGCAGGCTTCGCGGTGCTACGGCATTCCGCGGGGGGGGGGCTGCCTGTTCAGTACCACCTGCCTCCTCTCCCCCCTTCTCCGCCCCTACCCGAAGCCTTACAGCACTGATGGAAAGCATTGCTCTCTCCAGGCGCTGATCTCCATTTTTGTAGTGCCACAGGTGGAGTGCACATGTGCACACCTGCTTTTTGTACCACCACTGGGCCACGCACAATCCTTCCCACAACCTTAGTAGTGTGTTTGCTGATTTCATAGACATCAGGGCTGGAAGGGACCTCATAAGATCATTAGGTCCAGCCCCCCTGCCCAAGGGCAGGAAGTCAGCTAGGGCCAAAGGGTCCCAGCAAGATAAACATCCACATGTTTCTTGAAAGTGTCCAGAGTAGGTGCTTGCAGCATGTCTGGGAGGAGTTTGTTCCAGGCCTTGGGGGCTCAACAGTAAACAAGCTTTTCCTTCTGTCCAGGCTAAAATGGTCTTGCAGGAGTTTGGCTGTTGGACCTTGTCACCCCCTGGGGTGCTCTGGTGAATAGGTGTTCCCCCAGATGCACATATGCACACCCCATATGTACTTATAGGCTGCTACCAAGTCACCCTTGAGCCTGTGCTTCTTCAGGCTCAAGAGTCCCATAGCTCGCAGCCTGTTTTCGTAAGGCCTGTTCTCTTGCCCTCTGATCATGTGCGTGGCTCTCCTCTGGACTCTTTCAAGCTTCTCCACATCCTTCCTAAATTGTAGAGCTCAGAATTGGATGCAGTACTCCAAATGTGGCCTCACAAGGCCAAGTAGAGTGGGGGGATGACATCCTGGGTCTTGCTTGAGATTCATCGGTAGATGCAAGCTAGAGTTGTTCGCTTTGCCAGCTGCAGTGTCACATAGGTGGCTCATTCATCTTGTGGTCAGTCAGGACCCCCAAGTCTCTTTCGGTCATGGTGCTAGCGAGGTGTGGTGTTTAGCACTGAACAGAATATGTGGTGACTTGCTGAAATTGCACCTTCACATTTTCATAGAAACTGAAAAATGGCAGTTTTCACAATTACCACGAAAAATGGTGTTTGCTGCTATTTCCCACAGAATTGCTAACCCCCCCCCCCAAAACCTAAAAATAAAATGCTGGTTCCCTAGTGGGAGCCAGTGTTTCTCACCAGCTGCTGCTGCCTGGCCCAAAAACCTGCTGGAGTTGGGGAAGGTACTATCTAGAGTGGGGATGAAGGGAAGCAGACAAGACAGTGGCTACCCCCTCATCCCTCTTTCCCCGGTGGGGCTTCTTTGCCAGTCAGTGGTGAGGGGCAAGGCTGCATGAAGAGCAGCCCTCTCTGCCAATCATCAAGGGGCAAGGCAAGTGACGGCGCCTCTGGGACCTGTCAGTCAGTCAGCATCGAGGGGTGCATGACAACATAAAATACCCATGTAAGTGGCATACTGTGAGTGGGCCACAAAAATCTCTTTGTCTTGCCCCGATTTAAGTGGGTCCCTAATGTTATTTTTAGTTAAAATGTGCTATTTAGATAGCATGTACTAAAGGTCCTGTCCCAAGCATGGGTCTGTTGAGCTGTTGGTCATTTGTAAGCTGAGCATTCATTCTTTGTCCTCCTCAGCTTTAAACGAATCAGTATGATCTAGCTTTTTTGTAAGATTTATCTCCGTTTGTATTTAAAAGTAGTTGGTGTAGCTTGTCCTGTTTGCTGTTTTATTCACAGATACTGTTTCGAGTGATTACTTTTGGCTTGAATGCATTTACTCTCCGTTACTTATCAAAAGAAATTATTGGCCTAGTGAATGTAAGGTAATAAAGAATAACAGAAATTAATTGTGGTAAAAGTCTTTATAATTCTGAAGGCTACTGCTTCCAGTCAGTAGTTTCCAAAACCTCTTTGACTTGCAGGAGTTCTACAGTGAAATGTTTAGTACTGTTTTGAGTGACATGGGAATATTTCTGCCTTTAATACGATGGACCTGTCAGTCTGCTTACTCACTTGTGAAGTTATTCTCTAGATTCTTATGGTTCTATATTGGACATACAAATATTAGGTGCTGGTATTGACAGGTGATAAGTGAGGTTAAATATTTCATTTCCCTCTACTCTTATGGGACCTACCGCATTTATTCAAACATAAGACGAGGAAAAAGCCCATTGTCTTACATTCACCTACAAAGAAAGCTCATTAAATACATTGTCTATCATTAAATTGATGCCAAAAGTAGCATGTGCCCAGCAATGGAATCCAGTTATAAAGTTGATAAATGCAGCCAACACTGAGCATGACAATAAGGTACATGGCTCATATTGGGCCAACATACCAATGGGAACCTACCACAAGGATAGGTTAGTGTAACCCATCTGAATAAGATATATGGTAGTGCCCATTGTGCTCAGCCCCCCTCAGTGCCCTTTTCCAAGTCATGGTGAGCCACTACATTGAATATATATTGACTTTTCTTCACTCCCACAGCTGAGTTGCACCCATTTCCAATGAGGTCTGTTTCTTCACCAGCATTAAATGTCTGGCAAACATCACTGAATGGGGTCCCAAACAGCTTATGCAGAATCCCTCTGTCACTCCCTCTCTCAGCTTGTCCCATATGATTAGTGTGGCCTGCCCTCCATGAGATGGAGCCAGACCAGGTTGCCCTGCTCCTCATCCATATGTACATTTTTGGAGACTCTTATGACTTGTGATAGGAACACCCATCGTGAATGGGTATGTGACTAAATAGCACATGGATCCTTTTGGGGGGTTGTATATGGAGTACACACGCATACTGAGCAGTGCTGAGATATGGTATCACCATGGCTTAAAATGCTGTTATCTCTGCAAGGGTCCAACCCAATGAACTATATGGTAAATCATGAGCCTTTTGGCTTTACACTAATGTTATAGTTTGTATTATATACAACTAAGTACAGAAGTGCTGCTTAAAAGTGTACTTTTGAAGTACCTCTGCTAAAACTTGCAACAGTTTCAGAAGAGGTAAGCTACATCAATTTTGGATGAACTAAGTCTATGGGTACCTGTATTCATTTTCCTATATGCAACTTAGTGCAGGTATGTTTGTTTTTAGGTCAGTGTTTTCAGATATGATTCTCACTTCTTTGGGCTCAGAGAGAACAAGGTCTGATGGTAAAGAAGTGGGTAAGGGGCTGCAGGGGAAAGAAGTTGTGGGGGCAGAGGGCAAGTGGTCTACCTGACCCTTGCCCAGATTTATTTTCTCTGCTATAGCAGTGGGAGGGGGGAAATTCAAGGCAAACCTCCAATAATTAGGTTCTGTACCTGGACAATTTTAACAAATTTATACATTTTCCTTATATTGAATCTCATTATTGGCGGGGATCATCATTTATTTGAGTAAATATGGTATTTAAATGTTTTCAGGTAAATCTTGGAGTACTGGTTCAAAAAACTAACTATGTTGTATCCTTATATTCTCTTAAATGTTAATAGAAGCTATATATTACACAAGTACAATAAGAATTATTTGTTTATTAGTATCTGTATTAAACTCTATGGAGTGATACCACTTTTTATCCTGTTGTGGATAAGCAGGTCCACATATTATATATTCTTTTTGGAGAAGACAAATCTGTTAGAATAAATTCTTACTTAACGTCCACAGTTTTTACAGGCAGTTATACATAGTAGTTTTATATGAGCTTTTGGGTTAGTGGAGTGTGGTATTTATCACCATTCCAAGCAGTAGTTTGGATGATACAGATATGTTTATTCTTAAAGGAATTTTTTAATATTGATATTAGTACTGTCTCTGTTATAACTATAGAAGTTGGTATGCGCAGGGGTCACTTTCTTTCTCTATCCCCTTTCTTTAGGCTAACACTGCTTTATTCTACAACTGTTTTCTTAGCGAGAGAGGCATTTCGCAGAGCTTGCCTAAGTGGAAGTACAAGGAGAAATTGGACTAAAACTATTAATCTGCTGTGGCTAACGTAAGTTGTCCTTTAACTTTTTTGTTTATTCTAGTTAGGGCTGCACCAATAAAGATATGGGACGATTTCGATGGCCAATTACTGACCAGCCATGTTGGCCGATGATGGTCCAATTGCTGATATGTGGCCCAGTAGCATGGAGAGCAGTATCGGGCTAGTAAGTCTGTTGTGGGGAAGGGGCGTTGGGGGGGTGGGGGAGGGGGGTGGGGGGGGGGGGGGCAGATTGAGACCCCCACGGTGAGGGAGGGAGTGGGGCTTAGGCAGGGGCAGGCAGTGCCTAGCCGGCATGGGGCAGGGCACAGGACAGAGCTGGCAGCTCATCCAGAGGGCAGAGAGGGGAGGCTGCAGCAAATTTTGAGGAGGCTATAGCCCCACTCACCCAGTGCCACTATTGCCCACCCCGCCCCATCCCACCCAGCCCAAGGAAAGCTGCTGGAAAGAGGCTGGAATAGCCCTGGCCCTGAGCACACAGTGGGCAGCCTGCCCTCAGCCTGTGCACAGATCTGGGGCACATGCCTCCCCTAGGGGTATGTGCAGTGGCAGGAGCCATGCCCCACATTCCCTGCCGCCCCAGGATGAGCTGCTGCCCCAGCTGGGCAGTATCTGCCCCAGCCGTAGCCCTACTCCCTCCCTCACGGCGGGGACCTTGATCTGCATTTATTGGCATTCCCAGAGTAATGCCCCCCCCCACTGGAGTAGTGGGGTATGTGCAGGAGTATCCTTGTTCCAGTGGTGGAATTGTTGCTGTAAGGACACAGTGATCTCATGGTGATGAGGATTTTTAAATCTGGAAGCATCAAGGGCAGGAGCATGCACAGGGGGCTTTTAGAGGCATGATGGGTCTTACTTTGTTGTGGGGCATGGGAGAGCAAGCTACATCTACAATGAAGTAGCACCCTGAGTGCTGGGAGTAGTAGGTCCCTGGAATGCTTTGAGCGTTGGGAGTAAACTCCCAGTTCAAGTATCATGCTTGGGAGCATTTTATCTAACTGGTACCTCCATAGGTTAGCCTTTGGAAATGCCTTGAAGGTGTTTCAAAGCTGTTCAGATAGTGTTTTTCTACACCCACGGGGTTTCATCATCATTAGTATATAGTATGTTATGAAAAGATTTGGTAGGCCTCCCAAGTAGTCTTTCCCTTTCCGGAAAAGAATTAAAAAAAAAAAAAGGATTGTGTCTTAGAGAGAGTAAGTATTCCCCTGAAGGGGAAAAGATTGTCATTAGTTTCGTATATGAGTCATTTGAGAAGGGCTAAAAAGAATAAAAAAACTTATTAGAGAGAGGGATTGAGGGTCATAAAACTTAGTTAGACTATGTTTAACACATTTGCATAAATCTTTTTATTTCCAAGTTTTAAATATTCTAGTATAGTGTCAAGTTAAAACATTTGCTTTGTGAAACAAAGGACTCAACGTGTAATGTTTTAACTGTCTGCTCTGCTTGGAATGAAGTCATTTAGGCCTCCTCTGTGTGTGCAAGTAAGGGTGCGGTGAGATCTAATGCACAATCCATACAATTGCTCTTCCTGCCATGCCATACATGCATGGCAGGAGGTGTGATTGTGGGATTGTGCATTAGATCCCATCATGCCTTATTTCCAGTATAGGGGGAGCCCAATGCTGGGCTTCCCCTACATTGGTAAGAAGCATGCTCCCATGTCTGGGAGCTCCCTTTGCTGACAAGGGGAGCATGTGCAGCTGGGACTGAGAATCCCCACACCTGATGGGGCTTTCGGTCTTGGCTCTGCATGGGGCATAGCCATGACCAAGAGCCCTGTTAGCTGTAGGACACTTAGCCGGGCAGTTGTGGGGTGCTGCTGTGGTCTCCCAGCTGTGGTTGTGTGTGGAGTGCCCTGCAGCTGGGAGATCACAGCAGCTGTGATCTCTCAGCTGCTGCCTGGAGCAACTCTGCACTCCTACAGCTGGGAGACCACATTGGCTGTGATCTCTCAGCCCTTGGGGTGCATTGTGCTCCCCAGTGGCTGGGAGATCACAGCAGCTATGGTCTTCCACCCACAGGACTGCATACATATGCAGATTAAAGCTGAATAGAAACTAGCTATAAAGTTACATCACATTTTTGAGCAATAACTTTATAGCTGCTTGGATCTTTTAAGGCACGATAGCTAATTTGCATGAGCAGCCAGTCTAAATTTAACTGTGCAGTTCACAAGTTAATTGTGCAATAGATATAACATGAAGAAGGAGCTTCAGTCTTTTTTCCTTTTCAAACATCACTATTATTCTGTTTTAAAAAAAACTTGTTTAATATTCATTTTCTGTATGTTTTCTTTTTTCCCCTTCTGCCCCCAAAGAGTTCCTTTGGGGGTGTTTTGGTCTCTCTTCCTGGGCTGGGTCTGGCTGCAGTTGCTTGAAGTACCCGATCCAGATGTAGTTCCTCACTATGAATTTGGAGTAATTGCGTTTGGTCTCTCTGCAGTTGTTGAGCTCCTAGGAGAACCATTTTGGGTTTTAGCACAAGCACATTTGTTTGTAAGGCTTAAGGTTAGTAATATAAATACATGTAATGAATGTTTTCTTTTTTTATTTCTACAAGTGGTAAATAAGAAATTACAAAAATATTTTATATGTTCAAATGTGCTACTGCATTTATAATAACTTTTGCAGCTTACTACTGTAAAGCTTGATTAAATCAAAATTGTGGAAGAATATGGGCAAGAAAAACAATTATGTTAAACTAATATGAAAAGAATAAACCTTTTAAAGCCAACATGTCAACACATAGATACATTAATATGTAGGCATGAGCTGACACCAGGCACAATGTATAGACATCAGTGTCCATTTCTGGCATCTGATGAAAGAATTCGTTTATGTCTGTCTGAACTCCTTGGGCTTTAAAGTCCCACCCTGGCCTGACTTCTGCCTGCCTTCAGATTAACATAGCTAACTATCCTTATAAAATAACTTTTAACTGAGGAAGGAACTAATAGTTCCATTATGTTTGCATTTTAATTATTTTGGGATATAACTTAGGAAAATGCAGCATTGCAGAAAATGAAAGTTTTTCTTTTGTAGATCTTTTATTTCTTTACTCTCCCCTTTACCAGCAACAGTTAAGGAACACTTATTGAGATAATCAAAGATGGCTCAGGATTTTTTATTACACATTTTTGAAGAAATAAAATCAGAGCTGTGGGGCAAAATTCTTCTAGCTGTGAAAATCTCATATCTAATATGTATTAACATTGTCTACTTCAAGTACAATTTGAACAGAATGTCAGATCTTTCTACTGCTGTGAATAATTGTGAATATTTTTTTAAGGTAATTGCTGAAAGTCTTTCCATATTCTCCAAATGCCTTCTGACAGTCATTTTAGTAGCTCTCCTTCCTCACTGGGGACTTTACATTTTTTCTTTGGCTCAGGTAAGTTTTCAGCCTTCTCTCTCGTAAGTTTGTGATTCAAGCAAGCTTTTTTTTGATTCTCATTCTTGTATTTAGCTTATTGTCTAATCCTGAAAGTATGTGGAGAATGTTTTTGGGGGGTTATGGAGACAGCTATTGTTTGCTAATATATGTTTATTGACTTAGCACCATGACTCAGTTTGCTTTAAGAGAAGCACATAACACATCATTTTCACTGTATGTGTATGCATTCTGCAAATAAGGACATATTGTCATTCTTTTTTCCTAATTTATTCACACAACCTAGTGACTGATAGATCTAATCATAGAATTGCCTTGGTATTAATTCTAATGAATATTACTTTGATTTTCTACTAAGGGCAGCTGCAGATGACCTTGTCTTAAAAAGTATGTTGCTTTAACAAACATTTGTGCTTGCACATTGTCCTTATTCCAAAAAGATTAGATTGCCTAGTGCAGGGGCAGGCAAAATATGGCCTGCGGGCCAGATCCAGCCATTTGATCTGGCCTGTGGAGTCCATCCAAAAAGCAATTATCAGTGGCCCATGGCTACCCTGCTGAAGGCCAATGGGAGGTGGGCTTTCAGAGGTTGTGTGCCATTGGATTAGGCGGGCCCTGTGCTTCCACCTCAGTGGGGTTTCTGGAATTCCATTTGGAAGCCCCAAGTGGAGGCACCAAGCTCAATAGCACATGACTGGACAGCTGGTGAGTGGGATGAGGAGCTCCTGCCTGCAGGAGTGGGAGGTGGAGGTGGGGTTTGTAGGTGGGGGTGTGGCCCCCCCCCACCATGGCACATAGCCCCGCTGCCATTGGGTTGGGTGGGCTCCGTGCCTCCACATGCAGCTCTCCGCTGGAGTGCTGGAAGCCCCATGTGGAGGCATGGATCTGGCCTGGCCTGATGGTGCAAGGCTCCCAACTGCAGTGCCAGGAACCCTAAATGCTGGTGCAGAGACAGCCCAGCTTGGTCTGAAGGTACATGCCAGCTGGCCAAGCTGGGCGGGCTCTGTGCTGCCACGTGCAGCTCATGGGATTCAGCCAGAGCCATGCGCTGCCACGGATCTCTGCCTGCTGTGGGACAGGAGCACCCCAATGGCCTACTGCCTGCTGCTGCCCTGTACAGACCTTCCTCCCCCCACCCCCCCCCCCCATCCCCCCCCCCCCAACATATGACTTACAAGAGTAAGACTTTATCTTGAGCTATTACAAAATCACCTCTATATATACTACACAAACACACAGAAATCAGGACAATAATATTTTTGAAATAAAATTAAAATATAGTAGACGTTTCATTTTTAGTATACAGTTTTTTTTCTGGTTCCAAGATGGCAAACCCCCCGCCCAGAAGGACTACTTCTGGGTGCAAGTGGCAGGTGGAGAGAGGGAAGACCAAGATGGCAATTGGGGCGGGGCACTTGTCAAGGGGTGGGGCTACCCTTGACGCCCTCAACAGCTCACCAAAAGTTGTTAAGTGGCTCTCTAGCTAGAATAATTGCCCACCCTTGGCGTAGTGTATGATATATGAAATCTGGAGGCCTTAAGCAAGTAATATCATCGGTAATTTTGGGTAAACATGTTTACATTCAACAACTTTAATAACTGGCACTTAATTTAAGAGATATCTCTCCAAACTAATAAAACCTTTGTATAGATGAACCTGTCTTTGTTGTTTGTTGGAATTATGGTAGGGTTTAAACCCTATTATGCTAGGTATGGTACAAATATACTTAAAATACCTGTCCCAAAGACTTCATGATATTTCATAGTCTGTAAAGACTGGGTCATGGCATATTTTGTGGCCTGAATCAGGATGTGCAGTTAACTGTATTCCTCTGTCAAGTACAAGCTTTACAGTTTAGTTCTAAAGACAGAAGCTGTCCTTTTTATTATTTTTTTTATCTTTGTATTCTTCTTTCCTGCACAGGGGCTAGTCCCAACTAATGTAGTTGGGGGTTTTTTAGTATGCTTCTTTACAAACTGACTAAAATAAGTTTAGTATTAGTCATTTGAAGGATTAATTTTGAATACTTATGGGAATAATTTTACTTGGGTGGATTATAGACTAATGTTTTTTTATTACAGCTTTTATACACCAGTGTTCTAGTGCTGTGTTATGTAATTTATTTCATGAAGTTTTTGGGTTCTCCTGAAGCAACTAAGAAGTCATTTCCAGTTTCTAGAATGACAGCTTTGTTACCCAGTTTGGATGGAGATTGGGTAAGTAGCAGATTTTTTATATTCAGTCCACCTTGAAGGAAACTTTAAAATTGTCCTGGATGACTAGTGAGACACTGTTGAAGTAATATTCGCCTTAATGTGTGTGATTTAAAAGGATGTATTTTTACTATAGCAAAACAGCTGTGAATAAATAGTTCTGCTAATGGTACTTTTATTGCTGTTAAATCAAAGCCATCAATTCAATACGATCAGCTCTGTTTCCCTCTATCCCGCAAGCACCCTTCACAAAAAAGAAATGAAACCTATTACTAAGCTTTTTTGTTGATGTAAAATTGTTCGTGGAAACACATTTTTTAGTATTTTGCATAGTCCTTTGGTTAAAAATGTAGCCAGGTGTAAGTAGAATGTGTATTAGATTTCAACAAAGTTAATTTCTTTTTAGTTAATATTAACAGAGCCAGCATGTGGTTTCCTATTAACTTTTTACATGCAAAGTGTACCATACAGTACAAACCTTTCGTCACATTTCTCCAGAATTTACTGAAGTCACATAACTTGGAGCGATAAAATGGGGGTGGAGAAAGAAATTAAGAGTTACAAGCAACAAGAAAGATATTTCAGGTGAGGTTTTAGGCAAAAGAAGCATATGTACAGGAAAGTAGTTTCAGGTGGCATAAACTGCAGAGGAGGATTTTCAAATTATGAAATTTGTGTGAGTAGTACTGGGTGGCACCTTAAATTACAAATAGTTTCAGTGATTTCACTGGAACTTGGCTTGAAGTGATGTATTTATGAATGTGAATGATTGCAGAATCTGTGTTGACTGGCCTGTAGGGTTCCTTGAGGGGCTGGGAATCTGGGGGTGGGACCAGTGACAGAAGTTTTAAGCCCCACAGCACTCCAACATAGAGGCATAAGCACCTCCTAGGGTTAATGTTACTGCCACTTGTGTTGCTGGATCTGGTCTGTGAGGAGCCCTGAAGTCTGGATTTGGTCTTGAGGACTAAATGAGTTTGACATCTCTGGTTTAAGTGTAAGGCGCTTTGAATTGCTCCACACAGTGAGAATACAGATGCATGTGGCTGGAGAAATGCTTCAAAAATGGCCAAAGCACTTTAAAAAGTTATAAATTGGGTAAAGTATTCCATTTCCTTCTACTCTTCTGGGACTTATTTAAATTTTTCATGGTAAATCTTGAAGTACTTTAAAAGTGATCTCCAAAATGATGAACAGCATTGAATTGTGCCCTGTGACTGAGCACTACCACTACAAGCTTTCATGTTGATTTTTTGAAGGGCTGTAGCAGGGAGGCATACTTGGCATTGGGGGTGTGGTGCATGTCTGTATGGCAGTGAACTGCTTCAAATATCTAGTGTTCTGAACTAGAGCAGAATTTGAATCTACTGTATGTTTGCATGACTCTAGTAAAGGGTAATAGAAAACCAACCCATTTTTTAGATGCTTGATAAAATTAGTAGGTGTTAATGAGGGCCTATTTCAATGTTTGGTTATTAAAATTATTTTGAAAATTGTCAGATCTACAGAGAAGCAAAGTAAAGAATTAGTGAGGCTATGTGGGTTTTTGTACTTTTGGTTCTGTTCCCCTGAAACTGTCAGTAAACCCAGTTACATTTCTGAACATTATTGGAATGGCCTTGTATCTGAAGGGTAGAACTTGTGTGACAGCTCTATATTATAATTAAGAAACACTTTAAACATAGCATATGTGGTGGAAAGAGTCCACCATCCTGTGTTAAATAAACTATAAAATGAGTCTTGTATAGCAGGGTTTCTCAACCAGTGGGACGCATCCCAAAGTTCCTCTAGGTGGGACTCGGGTCACAGCGGTGAAACCAGAAGTGCCACTGCAAGGCTTCTGATTTTGCTTTTGCGCGCTTTTCCAATTTTGCTCCAGTGGGACCAGGATCCAGGATTTTTTGACCTTACATGGGTGGGACGTAAGGTACAAAAGGTTGAGAACCAGTGTTGTATAGCATGCCTCCAGGTGCCTGGGGGAAATCAGCAGGAGTGTAAATATCCAAAAATTTAAAAACCTTTTGTACTGTTTGCTATCATAAAAAATATTTGGGATCCCTATTACAGCACAATGTAGTTCTTTTTCTATAAAATATTTTTTGCCTTGGAAATTAACTCCAGCTGTGTGATTGAGATTCCTAGGATTGTATTCCTTGGTTTATGCTTTAGCTTTCTTTTTTAATAGTTATCTCTGTGCTGTCAGATGCCCACATTCTTTCCAGGATCAAATGATTTTTGTGAAGTTTATAATTATGATCCACTTCATAAAATCTGTAGTTCTCAAAGTTTTCTGCTTTTCAATCCCATTGTCAAATGACACCAGCTGTTTGTGGTGTTACTGAATCACAGCTGTTTAGCAATGCTACTTAATATCACATCCTATATTTGCTCAGTCCCATCTTTCCATACTCCCCATGTGGTTATCTAATAGAGAAGAATCAAATTAATTTTTTGCTGTTTTAAAGGGTTGGTACAGGAAGTGAAATTGATGATTTAAAAATATTATGAATACAATGGGACTGGAACATGCTTAAAACCTTTTAAAAATAAGAACATGAAATTTCCCCCATTCAAAATGGATGTTCCATTACGGTTGGTTAATAGTTTCTGAATCAAATATTTGTATTAATGTGATTCTCTTAAGGCAGTGGTTGGCAACATTTTCTGGTAACAGATTAGCTTGTGTTCAGGCAGGCCAGTACTTGGATCCTACAGCCATTTGTTCTCCCTCCTGCCTGGCTGCACTGCAGCACAGGGGGAAGCTCCCTGACACCCAGCTACAGTATGGCATGATGTGGGCAAAGCCCCCTGCTGCTGAATGCTGTTGAAACCCCACCTGTCTCTTTAGGCCTGATCCAGGCTGTGGGCTGTAGGTTGCAAACCCCTGTCTTAGGGTGTAGACAGATATGTAACATTGTATCAATATCAGATGATACCCATATGAAGTGTTTGTTGCAGAGCACTGAGGTGCCCTGCTCCTAAGGAGGAGAAACTGCTAGGGAAGGGACCCTAGCAGTGAGTGAATAAGGAGCCCAGCTGTGGGTTGCTGGAGCAACCAGGGAAGGTCAGCTGACTGGAAGGGGCAGGGCCTGGCCCTTATAAAGGCCAGGGGCTGAGGCCAGGCTAGCAGTTCCCTGCCAGCTGCCAAAGAGGAAGGAGCTCTCTCACGGAAGGGATGGAGTATTTCCTGGTAGGCTTGAGCATTGTTATGGCCAGGCAGCTTCTGTCTAAGTTATAGCCGATTGGCTTGTATTTTGTGTTGCTGTTTACACCGGTGGTTTGGGTGAGGCTATTAGGGGTTGGAGGAGGCCTCATAGGGACCCACAGTGGTGTGGGGGCCCCAGCGCCAGTGAGGGCAGAGCATCCGGGGTACATTTGACCCCAGCCCCAGAGAGGGGGGAGTGTGAGAAGCCCCAGTGCGGGCAGGGTGAGCCCCGGAGAAGGGGGCAGCATTGTGGTGAACCCTGAGGAAGGGCGTAGCATTGCGGTGAACCCTGGAGAAGGGGGCGGCTTTACAGAGGAGCCCCCGAGAGAGGGGGCGGCTTTACAGAGGAGCCCCTGAGAGAGGGGGCGGCTTTACAGAGGAGCCCCAAGAGAGGGGGCGGCGCGATAGAGAAGGCCCCAGAGGAGGGCGGCAAAACTGAAGAGGGGCAGCATTGTGGAGAAGGCCCCAGAGAGAGGGCGCGGAGAGAGACAGGGCCACGAAGGGCTTAAGTGCCAGAGAGATTGTAGACCCAGACAGAACAACGTCTGTTCCAGCTGCGAGGCTTGGGGCATGGTATAAGGGGTGGTTGGAGCCACGCATAGCCCCTAAGTCTAGGGTGCCCCGGAAGCACCCATTTGTAGAGCAGGACCCAAGAGGGGTCCGGGAGTCCACAGGCAGAGACTACAACAAAAGTGACCAAGAGGGCATAAAAAGGCAGCCTCCCTAACATATTTTAACATCAAAGATGTGGCGGGCGAGAAATCGAGGATGCCCTAGGGCCAACTTGGCACGGGAAGGGGCCTTAAGGAGATCATGGCCCTCCTGTAGGACCCCGCCTGTGACAGTGTTAAAACGTAACTTACATCTTCATGTTTCTGTCCTACTACAAATGTACCTGTTTTGTTCTAGGTTAAAGTGATTTAGTTCATTTGTATTGCTACTGAATGATACAGATATAACTGTTAGATCTTAACAGCTGATGCATCTTTTCCTTTTAAAATGGTTAAAAAGTATCGCTGTCCATAGCCTTAAATATAAATTAAAGGCATAACCACTTCTTTTTGTTCCTTGCTGAAGAAGATAGTTCTATTTCAGTCTTAATTAAACAAACCAGATGAAAAATCTAGTTAGTACCTCTAGAAGTTAGAACATGAATTTACTACTTCTCCAATAAAATTGCTAAATGCATATTTAAGTAGTTGGTGTAGTGATCTGAAAATTTGCATTCTTGATTTTGTCAGCATTGCTGCTTTCTGCTGCTCAGCAAACTGCCCAGGGCATATTTCTTGTGCTAGTGCTGGTGATCTCACTGGGTCTAACCTGGAGGTTCCTGGCTAGAGAGTCTTCCCCTCTATTCAGGGTCAGACTGATTGCAACATTTGGGATCAAGAATAAGTTTTACCCCATGGTCAAATTGGTATGAACCGTGCATGGTTTTGCCTTCCTCTGTAGTGGGAGGGGAAGGGGGAGAAGGCTGAGTGGCCTTCTTCCTTGGAATTCTTAAGCTTATTTTAATGAGGCTTGCAGCAGCAGGACAATGGTTGCTGTTGTCCCCGCTGCTTTACCAGTGGCAGGTTAGGGTGCTATGCCTTGTGGTTGTGTGACAGGGTTGATCTGGCACAGTGGTCCTAGGCTAAAAGACCCAGCAAAAGAAAGGGGGTGGAGTCTGGGAAGGCCAAGGCTCCAACAAGGACATAGAGTCCTGGAGAGGTGTCATACTGTCAAGTGCCCACCAAAATGATGAATTGGTAATGCCTGTGAGGCATGGGTGTGACTGTAGGGCAGGTAGGAGATGGTAAAATTAGTCATTAAGGCAACTAGTGGTCCAGGAGGGCCCACCAAGCATTTGAAGGCATGACAGGGATCAGCAGGGTTTGGGAAGGACCCAGAAAATTCCTAGTGGATTAGGACTTGCTCTGGGACGCTAGGCAGCCTCCCTTTTTCCCAATAGCAATTCTCCCTTCATCCCAATAGCAAGGTGCAGCAGGCGAGAGGGCAAAGGAGGGAAGGTACCCAGAGCCAGTGCTTACCTGGAGCTGGATGGCCACCAGAGGGCATCACAGCCACCCCTGGGGCCTGGTCCTGTTACAGTAAGCACGCACACTTTGAATTTAAAATTATGCTAGAAATATATCAGGGGATTAGTGTGAGCTCCAGATACAAACTGTAAAGTAGTAGTTTTGAAAATTACAAACCAATTAATTTCTTTCAACTGATGAGCTCATGTAAACCATAGATAAACTTGTTTTATTCCTAACAGTATTGAACATAAACAAAAATGGTGCCACTGACCTCAGGAAAGCTGAATAAATTGCTTTTTAAAAAATTCATAGTTTCATAGTTGGTAGGGTCGGAAGGGACCTGAGCAGATCATCAAGTCTGACCCCCTGCCATCGCAGGAAAGAGTACTGGGGGTCAAACGACCCCAGCAAGGTGTTCATCTAGCTTCCTCTTAAAAACCCCAGGGTAGGAGCCAGCACCACTTCTCTTGGAAGTTGGTTCCAGATCCTAGCTGCCCTCACAGAGAAGCAGTGCCTCCTGATGTCTAGTCTGAATCTACCCTCTGCCAGCTTGTGACCGTTATTTCTAGACACTCCTGGTTGTGCTCGGGGGCACAGGGACTCCACAAATGCCTGCTGGTCCCCTTTGTCTAGTTTGTAATGGCTGCTAGATCCCCCCTCAGCCTTCTCTTGTGGAGGCTGAATAGGTTCAGGTCCCCTAGCCTCTCCTCATAGGGCCTGCCCTGCTGCCTCCTGATCATGCGAGTGACCCTCTTCTGGACCCTCTCATATTGTCCACATCCCTCCTGAAGTGTAGTACCCAGAACTGGATGTAGTACTTCAACTGCGGCCTGACCAGTGTCGCATAGAGGGGGAGGATCACCTCCTTGGATCTGCTGGAGATGCATCTGTGGATGCATGACAAGGTACGGTTGGCCTTCCTGACCACGTCCCCACACTGTTGGCCCAAGTTCATTTTGGCATTGTAACAGGTGCACCTCTTTGGGGTCCATCTACTGATGACCCCGCCCACCTGTTATGGGCCAACCTCCCGCCTTCTCGCCTGCCATGCCTTGTTGTTAACTGATTAATAGGTGTAATTAAGCTGGAGACTGGCCATTTCCTGCCCCAAATTTTGTTTAATTCAGTCAGAATTAAACAAAAGAAACTAGAAGTTTCCTATCTGCTTGGGAGATACCAGGTCTCAGAGTAGGTGTCTTGGACCCAAACCTCACTAATAATCTTAAAGAAATCAGATGATAATCAGGCACTTTAAACTATAGGGGTATTTCTATATTAGTATTTTGTTTTTAAGGAGTTGAAATAGTGGTATTCAAATCCAATTTACTATAAAATTTATTGTTAGTTTCCTAGATATAGGAGGCATAGCCTTAATTTGACTTCTGTTGTGCCTAGTTGGAGATTTTTTTCTCCCTCTGAGACATGTTCCCAGCCATATATGGTATGGAACTTTGTAGGCCTGTGCGAATAGGGAAGTATTCGATTTGAATTCAGATTCAGCCGATTCAGAGGACAGTGATTCAATTCGGAGGTTCGGATTACTGTCCTGAATCTACTCAGCTGAATCAGCTTTGGAAGATTTAGCACTGATTTGGAGAGATTCGGTGATTCGGGTCACCTGGGGAGAGGCAGGCACAGCTGGTCTGCTGCAGGTTCTCCCACGGTTCCTCCAGCTGTGCCTGCCTCTCCTCAGGCATGGGGAGCCATGGGAGAAGCCCCCTTGCTGCCCTGCCCAGCCCCATCCGCTGCCTGGCCTCACCCTAGTCCCAGCACTTTAAAAAAAAAAAAAAGCCCCTCCCTCACTGGCTCTGGCAGCAGCAATTGGGGCATCTGGGTGCTCGTGGCAAGGTGCCCCTCCAACGCAGCACAGGGCAGCGGGGGGGGCAGCAAGGATTGCCCCCCCACGGCCTGGCACACACGCCAGCTGCCCCATGGCACGGGTGCAGTGCGGCTCAGCAGGGTGCCGTGCACTGTCTGGGATTTGGGGCCAGTGGGGTTGAGTGATGCCAGGCTCCAGCTGACACATGGAGCCGCCCCAGCTCCCAGAAGAATTAAACCAGGGGCTGAGGAATTGAACCAGTTCAATTCCCCAGCCCCTGTTTTGATTCACCTGGGAACTGGGGCTGCTTCACATGTCAGCTGGAGCCCGGCAGTGCTCAGCTGCAGCATCTCCCGCTTCTAGGACGG